TGGACGAGGAGGGGCCGCCGCGGGACCCGGACCCGGACCGGGACCGCGATCGGGCGGGGCCCCCAGCCTCCGAAGCCATCCCCGCCTTCTAGACACTGCGGGCCAGGCTCCCGTAGACGCTGCCAATAAACCAGTTACCCCGACTCTTGCCTGGGCCTCCTGGGGGGCTGGGGAGAGGGTCGGAAACCAGACCCCTGTGCTGTGTGGATGCTGGGACCCCGAGGAATGGGCCTCAGGGAGGAGGGAGCTGAAGTGGGGGTCGCAGTCCTGGGTCGGAGGAGGGAGGCTGGGGACCCGGACATCTGGTCTCAGGGAGGAGGGGCCTGAACAACCTGGGATTTGAGTGAGTGGGGACCGGGGGACTGCCTGGTGCCTCTGCCGGGTCCTGCGGTGCTCGGGAGGACCCCAGCCCTTCCTGAGCACGGTCCACGTGCGTTTCCGTTGTCCTGCAGTGGGGTGAGCCAGGTCACATGACTGATGGCACAGGTGGATCACCCTCCTGTGTCTGTAACTGCAGGGGCCACCTCCCCGTTTCATCCCTTCCTCCTCCTCGGCTGTCAAATGGCCAGGGTCACCCAGCTGGAGGGGGCTGCAGGGGCTCCCACCCGGATCCAGAGCTCTCAGATGGTGGGGGCAGATGCATGGTCTCAGTCACAGGTGAGGGGGCTGGGCGCGCTCCCCATTCCCTGGGCTCTGGAGGCAGAGCTGGGTGAGCCTGGTCTTGGACTTAACCTCTCTGTTCCTCCATTTCCTCCTGTCGGGATGAAATCAGCTTCTACCCTAGCACTGTCGGGAGGCTGTGGCGGATCCGCAGTTCGGTGTAGTTGTTTCTGTTAAGGTTTGGCCACCAGGGGCCTCCAGGTTCCAGGGTTGCCCCTCTGCAGGTCCCGGGAGCTTTCTGGCGGGCCCTGGTGGTGTCCCACCTCCAAGTTTCGCTGGGCTGCCTCCTTAGTCGGAAGTACCCCTATTCCTGTCTTCCGTCCACCCTCCGCGGCCCTCTGAGAAGCCTTTCCCGATTTCTCACCGCCTCCATCCAGACTCGGTCTAAATGTGCCTGATTAGATTGGGCCGTGGGAAAAGGCCATCGCTCTGCCTCCCCCCTGGGGTAATCAAGCCCGCGGTTAATTAGTCATTCAACAGTGTTTAGGGAGCACCTCTGTGTCAAGCGCCCTGTAGGTGCTGGGAATGCAGCCAGGAACTAGAAGCTAAAGCCCTTGTCCCCGGAAGTCCCCAGTCTAGGGGAAAGGGCGGCAGGCACATGCAGACAGTGTGGGAGGCTCCAAACTGGGAGAGGTGGGGTGGGTGTCCTGGGTCGGGGTCTCTGGTGGAGGAAGCGCCTGAGAACAGAGACCTGGTAAGCGCGGGAACTCATGGAGAAGCTTCCGGGAAGAGCTTTCCAGCTGGGGTGCTGCTCGTGCGAGCACAGAGGTGGAAGAAGGTCGGATCCCTGAACAGCCAGGAGCCTGGTATGGCCGCAGCAGAGCAGAGGACAGCGGAGATGGGACGGGCGTCGCCAGCCACCAGCCGGGCCTCGGGATGGTGACAACGACTGGGATTTTCTTCTGAGACTCATGCCCAAGTGTTGGGAGGACTCTGGTCCCCGGCGTGACCCGATTTCCACTTTCTACTCTCTGCGCCCACGGAGGACAGTGGACTGTAAAGGGCGCACATTGTCCAAGGAGAGCTGTGGGCCGACCCTGGGCCGCCTCCGAGTCCAGCGGCCCCTCCTCAGCTCAGATGTGGAGAATGGATTGTTTTGTTTTATTTTGTTTTTGTTTTTTTTCTCTAGGGTGTTTTTGCTCTGGTGCCCTCGCCAGAGACTGAGACAGAGAGTGAGAAATCACCCCCCATGGCGGCTGGCTAGGCCACAGTCCTTTCTCCATTCTTAGGGGATTTGGGGACACACACACACACACACACACACACACACGCATGCGCGCGCACTCATGCACCATCCTGTTTTTCAAGCTGCGGGGTCTGGGACTCAGACCTCACAGTAGACCATGTGGGATCCAGCGCCATCACCACCACGCCACCAGCTGGCCCCAGCTCAGTACTTAAAAAACATTAATGAGATCATTTATATTCTTTTATTTTTCTTACCAAGTCATCAAAATCCACCGTGTATGTTACACTTAAACCCGTTGGGACTCCCGGCTCGGACTCCTGCGGCTGGGCCACGGCGGGTCTGGCTGCTGTCCACGACGCAGATTTACAGCCTGCGTCCAACGCCACACTGCAGGCATGGGGCAGGCGCTGGTTCCCTGGCAGGGCGCCCGGAAGTGCACAGGCACCGAGCACCCGATCCTCCGCCACTTGCAGTTTGGGTGTTACGGGCGCTCTGCCCTCGCCTGGGTGTCTGCAGAGCTGGAGAAGGTGCTGTTCTGAGCTCTGGCCACGAGGGGGCACTGTGACCACGCCTGTGCTCCGGTGGCCGCTGACCGCAGAGCCCTCCTTCCTCGCCCCAGCCGGAGCTCAGCCTGCTCCACCTGCCCCTGCCTCTGAGCCAGCCCTCAGAGGCTGGAGACGGGCGGCTGAGCTCTAAGGCCCGTGTCACCCGGAAGCTTTCCTTGCCCTTCAGGCCCTTGTGTTCATTCATTCATTCAGCAAATGTGTGTGGAGAGAGCTGTGAACCGAACCAGGCCCTACCCTCATCTGAGAACCAAATGAAAAACAGAAACAAGTGGCATGCATTTCGTGTTGGGTAAATCCTCTTTACAAGCCGAATGATGCATAGTGATCAAATGCTTAAAAAAATAAGAATAATGGGGACCAGCAGTTAGCGTAATGGCTATGTCGCTGGACTCTCATGTCGTCGACCGTGGTTCGCGTCCTGGACCCGGTGGCTTAAACTCACGCCAGGCGCATGTGCGTGCATTGCCAAAATCCCGAGAGGAGAATGGAGGGGAAGGGGTTGCAGCGTGGCCATCCCCCCGGGGGGTGATTTCTCGCTTTCTGTCTCTGTCTCTGTCTAGCGAGCACACGCACCCTATAGCAAAAACCTCTC